GTTGGTTTTAGTGCTATGAAACACATTTCACCACATGCAGGGAAACCGGAGAACCCAGGAAAAGTTTGTTGGAAAAGAAGCAATTGTGACATCTCAATGTCTCAATGGCTGGTAAATAAACTATAAGAGATGAAACAAAACTATGCTTCGTAGGTTAATGAGAGCTATTGAGTTTCTCCAACTAATCCGTTCTCATTTGTTTTCCGATATTAAGTATCTATTGAGGATTGTCGAAAGTGGAGACAACGTGCGGCTGCAATACCGATCCCTTAAAAAGATGACAAACGATGACAGAGGAGAAGGCCAACATGTTCAACCGGTTGAGAGCAATAGCTTGTAGAATGCAATCATATTATACCATTTTCTTTTCTTTTTTTTTTATTCTGCATTTCTAGAAAGAAAAAGAAAAAGTTAATGTAGTTTGGGGTTTGGGATTCTGCATAAATTTAAAATCGTTTGGTTAGAGAAGTAGTGGAAGACTGTTGGAAGCTATTTATATTAGATTTTGTACAGAAAAGTGTTCGATTATAAAGAAAGGAAAAAAAACTGTTGCTCTTGTTGATGTGCTTGCAATGTTTTTTTGGTACTAATAAAAGGAGGAAGAGTGATTCCAAATAGGAATTCCTCGATTTTACTAAATAAGTTAGCCCAAAAAATTTAATTGTTTAACATGTAAAACTTAGCCAGAAGTAGGAGCCATAAACATTTATCTTTGTAAGTTAGAAACAAAAATTAACATAACCTAAAACAAAAATCATAATTCGTCATGCGAGATGATGACACTTTGAGGTGAAACACGTTGTAATATTTAAAAATTAATTCGACAAATAATAACAATAAAAATTATCATTTATTTTGTATTGAGATAATTTGAAAGATAACTTATTTATGATTTAAAATTGAAAAATACACATCTTTTTTTTCCCTTTTTGAAAACCTTTTTTACATGTGATAAAATATTTTTATACTGATTTTAATTAAAACTATAATTTTTAATTAATTTTAAAAAAAAAATCAAACATATTATTATTATTTATATATATATATGTATTTACTCCTTGTTTGAATCTAAAGTTTTTGGAATTCAATTTTGGTTTTATAGTAAATTTGCATGCGTATAGAAATTTGGATCTAATCCAAAAACAGTTGCATTTAGATTAAGAATAACAACATAATATCTCATATATATCAAACTAGTATTATACCCCCCATCATGCAGGGGATTTTATTTATTTTAATATAAAATGTTAATTAGAAAATGTGAAATAATAATTATTTTTGATATAAAATATTTTAATTAAACAGATAAAGATTTTTTTTTAAAAAAAAAGGGTGGTGATAGGAATGAGAAAGTGGGATAAAATGAAAAAATAAACTGTTCTTTTTATTGTTTTTATTCTTAAAAATAAGAAAAAAATATACTTTTTTTTTAAAGAATATGTGTCAAATACAAAATCGTCAAATGACTTCTGTTTTATACTATAAATTTTCTTTTTTAAAAGAAAAAGACATGTGTCAAATACAGAATTGTCAAATGACTTCTGTTTTATAGTATAAAAGATACCTATTTTTTTTTGAACAAAGTATAAAAGATTCCTTAAAATCCTCAATGGTTACTAAAAAAACAGAGAATCAAAACAGAGATAATTCATAAAGAATCAGTCAAGAAAATTTGGTAAATATACCTCTTCCTAGTAATACTATGTATCTATCTCTTTTCATAATCTATTTGGGATCTATCGAGATTTATTTCATGGTCTTGTGTTAGAATTTGGTAAAATGCTAAAGATGTGATCAAGCTTGTGAATCCCTTTACTCTTGTTTGTGTTGTTGAATTCATCATCAAATGCGGTTTAACTCTTCTCATGGCCAAACTTGAACATACTTAACTAATTCAATATTTTTAGACAATATAATCAAACTTGAAAAATGTAACAGATCATGTAAAAAGCACACTAATACTTTTATGAAAATAATCATACTTATTAAAAATATAAACGTAAAACATGAACACTTAAACTAAGAGTAATGAAATCCAAGCTTAAAAACAAAATGTAAAACAATCTTCGATAAAAAAAAAAATTGTAAATTGGATAATTTAGCTATTTTATTTATAAATAAGTGTATTTTAAAAAAATAGTATAGATTTAAAATTTCATCTCATCAATTTTTTTTTCATAATTCTGTCTTTGTATATTACATTCAAATCAATGTTTATCCTTCCAATTGACTCTAATATAAAATCAAATCTATCTTTGTGAGTTTCTAAAAAAAAAAACAAAATCACACATGAGAAGGATTTCAAGCACAAGGCTTTGCTAGTCTTGTTGCAAAATAATAGTAACCTAGCTAACCACAACATCAAAGATTTTAGGGTGCCTATACAAATTTTCAAAAACGGACCAAATTTAATGTCCATAACTAAAATGTATCACAAAAGTTTGCTTAACTATGCACAGCCAAAGCACAAAACCAATTTTAAAACCTAAAATGCTATAAGAAAACTTTATGGTTAACGTTTAGATTTAAAGTGCCTATACAAATTTTCAAAAAGGGAACCAAATTTAATGTCCATAACTAAAATGTATTACAAAATGTTATAACTAACGTTTGCTTAATTGCTTCCATTGTTTAGATTTCATCTTTTGTACTTAGTTATCACTTAGATCTTGTTATTCTATAGCGTTTGATATCCATTGTTTCTGTGTGATTCCATATGATATTGGTGATCTTATTGTTCACTCAAAGACTAATTATCACTTAGATCTTTTTATTATATATTGTTTGGTATCCATTATTTTTGTGTGATACCAGATGATGTTGGTGATCTTATCGTTCAGTCAAGCCTGAAAAAAGGCTATCATTTCTCTGTATAGGTGTCCTCGGCCAGATTATCATAGTCTCAAAATTGATGGTTAATACCACTGTAGCTCACCACAATTCTATTGCATTCCAAAATACGTTGCATGGATCCCCAGAAATTTACGTGTTCAACAAGCAAACATACTAAGATCATAGACATATACTATGTCTCGACTCTAAACTTTATAATTAAACATAGATACAGAGTGATGTATACTTATATAACCAAAACTAGTTACACATCCGTCATCATCTGATTTTTTTCTAAAAATTTCATTTCACGATAATCCTAACAAAGTCTATCATATATTTTCCTTTATTATGATAACAATCCCTTATAAATCTTGATATACACAATCAAGTAAGACTAAATTTCAATTTATTTTACTATTTTAACTCTTGCTTCAAATGGCACGATAATAAGAAGCAAGTTATAGCCAAACACAAGTTTGTTATAACAGGCAGTTTCGAGTGTGACCTATCTCCTTCTCATTTACAAGAAGGTATGTGATTGTTTGTTTTGGGTGTATCAGGTTTTGAATCCATTATATTAATTGTCTTTACTTTTTGTTCAGTGTCTAATAGTGGAATATTAACAAGACTGCGTGAGTTGGAAGATGTGGAACTAGAAGGTCTATGTGATGCGCCTGAAGCTGGAGAGAAGAACGCTAAAAAATGTGTTCTAGTTTTAGCAGAAGGAAAATCTTCTAAGAATCAAATTGTAAGTAGTTTGACTTTTTACCCGTGTTTACCTAAAAATAAGACTATTGATTCTAGAGCACAACAAGTTTTGATGTGAACTTTTGATCCTTCGTTATTTATTTATTAGTTTTTTAAGAAGAATTTGGCTATTGATTTACTGATTTAACTTCAGATAAAGGCATAGGCACAAACGCTAATATGCACCATCATGGTATCTACCAAGTCCGAGGAAAACCCATTAAATGTCAGGAAAGCCACCCAAAAAAACCGTGCTGCAAATAAACAGCTTACTGGTCTTATGAAGACCATTGGTCTGAGAGAAAATGTTGCATACCAGAATGTAAATTCACTGAGATATGGCAGTGTTATGATCATCGCAGACCCTGTACGTTATCTAGATATATATGGGTATTTGTTTATATATTCTCTTCTCTAATGTGTTCATAATATCAGATGCCAAAAAAAAAATATTTTATAGACTTGGATCAATCATTAATGTTTTCTGTCCATTGTTCCTTTTGTGGTTTTTGATTTTGATAGAGAAATTATAAAAGATAAATAACATACAATATGCAATGATTGATTTAAAAGATTGACTAGTTAGTTTGTGGAATTAAAGGTTTTTTTTGCTTGTCGCAATGTTAGCATAATGTTGTAATGTGTGACAGTCACCACATATTGCATGATTATATTTTTCAACTATGACTTTGTATTGAAATAATGAAGTTGGTCATATAAAATTGATTCATCTAGAAGACTTTGCTAGTTGTGTTGGAAAATAATAGAAAACTAAGAAACACAAAAGCAAAATTTTTTAAGGTGGTATACAAAATTTCAAAACCAAGCCAAATTTAATGCCCATAACTAAATTGCATTACAAAGTTTTGCTTACCTTTGTACAACCAAAGCACAATCCCAATTTAAGGAACTAAAAATTTATGCAAAACTTTATGATTTTGTGATCATGGATACTACTGTGATGTGATATGATGCTCTTGTTACTTCTTCCTGAGTTTTGTTTGATATTACTTCTTCCTGAATCTAGTGATATTACTCCTTCATGAGTTTTGTTTGATATGATGCTTTCATGATCGAGTTTTGTTTGATATGATGCTCTTTCTGAGTTTCGTTTGATATGATACTGTGATCTAAGTGCGATATTCCTTTTAATTAATGATTTTGTGGTCATTGAGGTGTAGGAAGTGCCATGGATAGTACCGAACGATCGAATCACTGTGATATATATGATATGATATTAGGATTTTGTTACTTAATCCTGAGTTTCGTTTGATATGATGCTCTTCCTGAGTTTCGTTTGATATGATTCTCTGATGCTGTTGTTTAATATGATACCGTTTTTTAGATGATTGTTTATTAGGATCTTTTTCATCAGTCCATGTTCTATCATGTTGATGTGACAATGTAAGAAGAATTTGACATGATATAACTTTATTTAATTTATTAGTATATAATTATTGGAGATTACAAATCAGCTGTGTTTTGTAGAAGTAACTAAGCAGACCTATAAAATCAGTTGAGATATTGCATCAAATCGCAGTTCAAAACAGCGACTGCGTTTTGTACTCGTATCATATACTCATCGACACGCTGCCGTTTGCGATCATCATTTGGTCATTTTGCATCATCAGGTTTTTGGCCGCCAGCTACACTACTGGAAGAGCTGCTGTCTCGGACGCTAGGAGAAGATGAGCATTTGCTAGAATGAGAGCTTTCTTCTATTGAGTTGTTGTTGTTGCTGCTGTTTCTCTTAGATCTCTTCGTCTTCTCTGGCCTTTGCGACGATGTATCCTACAATATACAGTTGTTTTTTTATTAATAAGGGGGTTTCTAACTTCAGACTGATCACAAGTTCTTTTTCAAACTCTCTTACCTTATCAGAAGTAGATCCAGGAGTTTTTAACTCGAGTTGTGTTGCAACGTCATTAGAGTCCTCTGCTTTCTCAGATCTGCTCTCTCTTGAAGCCTTTGTTCTAGGTTCCCGTGAACGGTTACTTGGATTCTGTGGTATATGCACGGATTGTTGTTCAACGATGGTATTAGGAGGCATATAAGGCATGTAAGTAGTACATGGAGCTGGCATCATGCTAGGGTTCTGGTTCCCAAAGTATGGGTAAGATGGCATTGACGGATGCATTGGGATTGACCCGGGAGGCATAGCCATAGGCATCGGGTATGGAAAAGATGGTGGTGGAGCCATCATGACGGTGTGATCCATTGCAGCTCCCCATGGAGACATTGACCTTAATCTTTGCTGGTATTGGAGATTGAGATTCTCTATATCCGACTTCAGCGATGTTTTCTCTTCTCGTAGGTCGTTTTTCTCCTGTGTCAACTACAGAACAAAAAAAACTGTGTTCTTTTTGCTATTGATTAAAGAAAACAGATTCTGTAAGCAATTAGGTAGCCCGTTGAGTTTGCATCTTATGATCTAGGTGAAGTATCTATATCATAAAAAGACAGAACACGCAAGTACATATCTAAATCTACACGCCATATGGACTGCATAGTTTTTTAAATTAGATAACTACAGAGAGTGAGGGATAAGAATATTGAACCTCGCGGGACTCATCTGTCAACGCCGTGTACTCAGACTTGAGTTTGTTGACTTCTGATGTCAGCTCTTTCAACAACTGAACAGTATCAGTTAAAATCGTGGCTTTGTCATTCTTGGGTCTGTCTGGATCTGGAAACAGAAGAGGGTATGTAAGAATATAATTGAATCATGTAAATGTTAAATCCACATAAAAAGTATGAAAACTTTACCGAGTACATTTCCAAGTTCAAGAAAATGCTCATTCAGTTTCTCCCTCCTCAACTTTTCACGACCTGCTTTTTGCGACTTTCTAGCAGAAACGTCCATGACCTTGTGAAAACTAGAAAACATGGAAATAAACTCAGAACGCCAAATTGAATTGCAGTCAGCCAGTCACGCTCCTAGTAAACTCTGAGAATTCAAATCCACAATAGAGATCAACGGCACATGACCACATATCCTTGCCTCATGACTGAGTACTTAGCATCACTCGAACCACAAGAGTCCTAACACATCCCTAGAAGCTAGTTCTCACATCTGATGATTGATTGCTTTTGAATTCCTAGAGCATATCTGTTTGTTGTAAACTAAGCAAGCACCCTAGATTTACAGATTGCTCAGATGCACTACTTGCAAGAAGGTTTCTAGTGAAGTTAATCCTCAAACGGAAAACCAAACAAGCAAAGGGAAAGACACCAACAAATCCACGTTCTTTCCAAACTCTATTTGGTAATAACATCTATCAAAAATCAAAAAACTTTTTTTTTGAAGAAAGGAATCTTCAATTCAATTACTTCATCATAGATCTCCCTGACGAACTTACTATACTTTCATACCACTTGAGCTTAGTTCAAATCCACAAAAACCCTCTCAATTCGAAATAAGTATCTGGATAATGATCGAAACCCTAAGGAGGACGTCAATTGAGGACGATCTATCGAAGATAACTAAAATCAGAGGTTGAACAAACTAACCGGCGGTACGAATCGACGGTGACGGCGAAATTCGATGAGATAAGACAACGGCGAAGAAAGATTCTTGTTCTATCCCCCGCTCTCTGCTCCCAAGCATTATGCCATTTTCTCTTATCTCCTTTTTCCAATTATTTAACATCTTTTTTTTTTTAATCCATATTCAATTATTCATTATTCCATACTGATGTTTTATTTTCCGACACATTTAATAATTTCAACTTCGCCAGCAAAGATCCATATTTTCTGTATATGTCAATGACTTTGAATTATTTTTCTATTTTCGCCTTCCACTTATGCATTTATCACAACAGACCCTCAATAGTTGATTTCAATAAAAGTCTCAAAATCAGATTTTCACCGTGAATTTGTTTTGAAATATCGAATTTCTTACTGTTTTTTTTTTCCAGAAATTTAGTAATCAGGTCCACTATTCTATAAACTTGGCTCAAGATAACTGGTTATTATTCAATTTTAATTGAAAAAGAATGTCTCACAAATAAATTAAAATTTTACTTTTGTTGACCTACAAGTCTAGCTATAGTCTTTCAGTTCAATTTGGGTGAAAACAATTTCAACAATATTTAGTTTGATTTTCGGATTAAAGTCGACAAGATTAAATGGTCCAATATCATAATGACAATCTTATTAGACATGTGAAGACAATGCCTATAACTTACACAAAAAGCCTACACGCCTTCATAACAAAATTCATTGTCTTTGCACGGATCCGACCAAAGGATCTATTTAGTGGAGATTCTTCATCTTCACTCGGTTATCATCGTCATTGAAGCAACGACTTTCTGTATGATGCTCTGAAGAGCTGGTGCGCTAACAGAACACTTGTTGCTACCCTCAAAGCATGACTTACCTTGTTCGGCTGCTCTGCAGAGCTTGGGATCCAAAGGAACTTTCCCAAGAAACGGTACTCCCATTTCCCTGCACATTCTCTCTGCACCACCTCCACTGCTGTCAAACACTTCGGTGTAAGCAAAGACGTCGACAAGCTCTGGTGCGTTCTTTCTTAAGCAAGAGATTACGTCTTGTGTCACGTCAATGGTAATGCCAGTATCTGCAAGCACGTTCATGAACTTGACATCCGCTAAAGGTTGAGTTAAACCGCTCATGTTCTCTACCACTCCTAGCACAGGGACTCCAACTTTCTTGCAAAAGCTCACTTCTTTCCTGACATCGATCAAAGAGACTTCCTGTGGGGTTGTAACAATGATTGCACCGTCGATGCCAGTGGCTTGAAGGTACTGGACGATGGAGATGTGCTCGTCTGAAGTTCCTGGTGGGGCATCAACAACGAGGTAATCGATCTCTCCCCAATAGACGTCTTTCAAGAATTGTTCGATGAGAGCGTTCTTGCGCGGACCTCTCCAAACCAAAGCTTCATCAGAGTTTGTTGTAGAAAAGTGGTGTACTCCGGGATTGAACGCGTAGTAGTGAACAAAGAACTTGGATAATGATTGAATCGTGAATAGAGATCACTTTCCTTAAAGAGTATTTCAACCTTTATTTGCCTAGGATTACACGAAATCCCTTGTAGAATAAGACAATCATTTTTCTTCTTGGTCTAGGCTATGATCCAAGAGACACACAAAGAGATTTTTGTGTTTGTTTATGTTTTTCTCTCAGAATTCTTTTAGAAATTGATCAAGTTGATCTCTCTCTTTCTTTAGTTATTTTTCTTTCATTGTTTTTGATCCAAAGAACAGATTATATAATGGTCCAAAAGTGGTTTTGTACGTTTGCAACCGTACGTCCACATGGTAACCGTTTACGAACAATTGCAATGGTTATAATATAACCGTTAATAACACTTAAATAAATAACATTCCTCCCCCATTTAAGTGTAATCTTTGAATCAGAGAATAATCCAAAACATAAACCAAACTCATGAATAAATGTAAATATCGTGACGATTGAATTTACATCTTAGTGAAATTACACATTTCAAATGTCCGAGAATCAGGATGTCCCATGGATTGAATCCTTTCAACTAACTTTGGACACTTGAAGATAATACACACATAAGTTTCCACACTGCTCTAAGTGTTTATACTTGACACTATTATAAGCCATGTGTCCTTATCCATTCTTGAGTATATAGGAAACTAAGTCCAAGCTTCTTGAAGCGGCTACACCTCATACTCATATAGGTAGATTTTTTCATTTTGCACCTGCAAATGCAATTTTTCAAAAAATCTATTAAGAAGAGAACTTCAACCTAACCCTTCTTGCAGGTTCAAGCACTTACTTTGGGATGATATAAACTAGTGCTTCAATCTCTAAGTGTGAGCTTTCCACATTGAATTCAGCCTCTAACGTTGTACTAAAGGGGAATTGGGTATCTCACCATTAGAGATTTTATATGGACTTTAAACCCATCCCTTTAACCGACTTGATCACCAAGTCTCTAGCTAGTCCTCTTGTTAAGTGATCCGCTAGATTCTGTTGAGACCGAACATAATCACCCCATGAGTGATCAGCTCACGTACTGCGCTATGTCGAACGCCTAGGTGTCCCGACTTACCATTATATACTTGGCTATAAGCTTTAGCCAAAGTAGCTTGACTATCACAATGGATAGAAATCGGTGAAACCGGTCTCGGCCACAATGGAATCTCGTAGACTAAGTTCCTTAGCCATTCTGCCTCTTTACCAGCAGCCTCTAATGCTACGAATTCAGATTCCATAGTCGAACTTGTAATACAAGTTTGTTTCTTAGAAGCCCATGAAATGGCACCTCCCCCAAGCAAGAACACCCAACCACTTGCAGAAGAATGATCTTCCACATTGGTGATCCAACTTGCATCAGAGTATCCTTCAAGAATTGAAGGAAATCCGACATACGACAAACCATAGTTTATGGTTCCTTTTAAGTACTTTAGCACACGCCTTACAGCTTGCCAATGTTGATTACTAGGATTACTAGTATATCTACTCAATCTTCCAACCGCATAAGCTATATCCGGTCTAGTACTTGTCATGGCATACATCAAACAACCAATAACTTGTGAGTACTGGAGTTGTGATACAGCTTGTCCAGTGTTAGGCATAAGCTTCATACTCGCATCCATGGGAGTGCTCACAGGAGAACAATTCTCATAATGGAACCTTTTAAGAACCTTTTCAATATAATGGGATTGTGTCAAAGACAAGCCCTTGTTCTCACGCTTGATTCTTATACCAAGAATCACATCCGCCTCCCCCATGTCTTTCATGGCAAAATTTGATGATAAGAACTCTTTTGTGAGTTGCACTTGTCTAAGGTTGGTACCAAAGATCAACATATCATCAACATATAAGCAAATGATAACTCCATTACCAGAATCATCAAATTTGCTATATAAGCACTTATCCGCTTGATTCAACTTGAATCCATTTGATAGAACAGCCTCATCAAACCTTTGATGCCATTGCTTAGGCGCTTGCTTCAGCCCATACAGTGACTTTACTAACTTACACACCTTTTGCTCATTTCCAGGAACAATAAATCCTTCAGATTGCTTCATATAAACTTCTTCTTCCAAAACACCATTCAAGAATGCTGTTTTAACATCCATTTGATGGATCACAAGATCATTAATAGCTGCTAAAGCTATTAACAACCTTATAGAAGAAATCCTAGCAACCGGAGCATATGTATCGAAATACTCGATACCTTCCTTTTGTTTAAACCCTTGGATCACCAATCGAGCTTTAAACTTGTCAATGGTTCCATCGACTTTCATCTTCTTCTTGAAGATCCACTTGCAGCCTAAAGGCTTACAGCCAGGTGGGAGATCAGTTAAGACCCATGTAATATTCTCTACGATAGAGTCCATCTCATCAGTTACTGCTTCTTTCCAAAACATAACATCTTGAGACTTCATAGCCTCATTAAACGTCCTAGGGTCCTCATCAACATGATAACAATATGAGTATTGGAATTCAACCTCATCTCTTGACCCCTCAATTAAGTAAAGTTGGAAATCAGAACCGAATGATTTCGCGATTCTCCCTCGTTTGCTCTTACGGAGCACAGGTGACGAACTAGAAGAAACATGTGTGTTATCTCCTTCCTTATTTTCATTTGAGCTAGGAACAAAGTCTTTTGGTCTAGGTATTGATGAGAAACGAGTCTCATCAAATATTGCATCTCTTGACTCAATCACGGTGTGAACCGCAATAGAATCATTAGGTTCTATGACATAGAACCTATAAGCCTTAGAATGCATAGCATATCCGATAAAGAATCAATCAATACCTCTTTCTCCCAAAGTTTTAATCTTTGGTTGGGGTAGTCTCACTACTGCTCTACAACCCCAAACTCGAAGGTAGTTCAAGTTAGGTTTCTTTTTATACCAAAGCTCATAAGGGGTAATCTTATTCCTTTTGTTAGGAATCCTATTTAATAAATAGCAAGCCGTCAACATGGCTTCACCCCAAAACCCGTCACTCAATCCCGAATAGGACAACATGGAATTAACCATTTCTTTTAAGACTCTGTTTTTCCTCTCGGACACACCATTTTGTTGTGGTGTATAGGGAGCTGTAGTCTCGTGTACAATGCCCACGGACTTCTAATAATCATTTTCATGAATCAAAAATTGAGAACTTCATTCTTGAAACCATTGATGTCGTACCTAATTTCGTAAACACTCCTCTTCATGTAGCTTATACTTTTGGAAATATTGCTTTTGCCATGAAGATGATGAATCTTAAGCCATCATTTGCTAGAAAGTTTAAACACCTATGGGTTAAGTCCATTGCACCTTGCTATAGAGAAAGGTCAAAGACGGTTAACTTTTGGTTTACTCAAAGTTGATCACGATCTAGTTCGTCTTCGAGGAAAAGAAGGTATACAAATTATTTTTTGGTAATTCTTCAAAAGAAAGTATTAAGATATATAGCTATGTTTCCTGGGGTATAAATTTTAAGATACTTGTTTGTTTGTTTGTTTCTGGAAGAGTTCTCCATCAAAAATCTTTGCCCGTCTAGTTCAGTTGGAAGAGTGCGAGGTTCCTAACCTTGTGGTCTTAAATTCGAATCCCACAGTGGACGAGTAATTTATATTATAATTTCATTCACTTTTGACGTGGTAATGTTTATTATAATGTCATTCACTTTTGAAGTGTAAATGTATAAATATTTCCGTTTTGTATATATGTCACTCAAAGCCCTTGATCGGAGAATGCCGGGAATAGGGAATGTATGAGTAGGGATGTCAAAATGGATCACGAGTTGATCCGATCCGTTTTGACCCAAATAACTCGTTAATTTTGACCATAATGATTTAACGGATCACGGGTTAATGAGTTGACCCATTTGACCCGTTAATTTTAAAAAATGTCTCTCATCGAAAAAACAAGATTTTGCGATTTTGGAGGGAAAATGTGATTTGTGGTTTTAGTGGGAAAACGTGATTTTGCGGTTTTGGTGGGAAACGTGATTTTGCGGTTTTGGTGGGAAAACGTGATTTTACGTTTTTTGCTGGAAAAGTGGTTTTGGGGTTTAAAGGAAAAACATGATTTTACGGTTTGGCGGAAAAATGTGATTTTGCGGTTTTGGTGAGAATAGTTAACAAAATAGTCAATGCCTAAGTTGGCAAAATAGTTAACAAAATAGTCAATGCCTAAGTTGACAAAATAGTTAACTAGTCACAGCATCTTCGATTTGGAGTAGAAAATCCTATAGACTTCCATGATCTCAGAGGTTGCCTCTTTGGCAGTAGTATAATGGACTTCAGCAACTTCTCCATTTTGTAAATCCAAAGTCAGATACTCCATGCAGCATTGCTCTATGATCTCAACAAGATGCTTCAAGCTCTTCACTTTCACTCCATTCACCTTGTAGACCTGTTCCAAGCAAATATAATTTCTTCTCAAAACACTAAAAAAAAGGTTTGGTTAAAGACTCAAAAACAAGTAAGAAGTTACCTGATGATCTTCCAAGTGTTCGTAATAACGGTTGGTGTCATGTCTCAATACCTACATCAAGAAACAAAACTTACTTTTAGATTAACAGTATAATGTCATACGAGAAAACATTTATAACTCTAAGATAAAGATTAACATACCCTAGAAAGCATGACCAGTTCTCCAGCCTCTAATTCTTTTGCCTCTGATACAGTTGTCTTGAAGAGAGCATCCCGAGGGAGTTGATCAACAAAATCGTCCATGTAAGACTGGCTGAAAGGCACAAAAACTAAACCTCCAAATATGTAGTATTTTGGACGGTTGTACTATTTTTGCACCTTCAAATGTGGTGTTACCTGATACACAATTGAGAATAATTAAAAAATGTAATGTGTATTACAGTAAACAATTTATACAGATGGCAAAACGTATAAAAGAGATTAATTAAAATGTGTAGAAAAGTCAAACATACCGGCTTTAACGTCACAACGCACTCATGAACTTCTCCACTTCTTAGAAACTTAATCAACAAAGATTCACATGGTTTCTTTAAAGAAACCAGGTATCGAAAGTCAATGCGCTCGTCTCTCCGAAAAGGGACTGCATCAAAGGGATAAGTTAACATATACGAGAACAACTAGAAAAAATCAAAATGATAAG